ACTGCGTGCAGAATCACGGGCCGTTGACACAAGTCAACCGTTCTGCTTAGCAAAGAACCATGCTTTTAACCAGCTGCTCGTCTGCAAGGCATGTAAGTGGTGCAAAGTCCAACATTTTTTCTTGCTGGCAGATGGCTGGCCACCTTCTTGCACCTAAATGGGGCCCTGTGTGTGTGCACTTTTCTAGAGATAAGAGATTCACACCCTGTTGATTGCTCAAGCTCACTACAGTCTCATTCAGGTCTTTCGTCAGCATGAGTGTGTTTGCAAGAGTACCGTTTGACTTTCAACATTTTGTCAGCAGGGAGGCAAAAGCTCCAGTGACAAGCCTTGCCTAACGAAGTCAAGTCACTGGAGTGGATGCAATGTTTTGATCACTACTATACCTGCATTCGGATAGCCTGTGGGCCCTCTGAGGCATTGGAGTAGCCAACAACTGCCGGCACATTTGTTGCTTTCCGTCTTTTGCACGAAGGCTCCATGTGCCTGCATCACATCACATGACACCACACAACAACGTGTGCAAACACATCTAGTGTAACGTCTCTTGTGGACATCCATCCGTGAGTGCCGACAACACTATCTCAGTGTGTATATGTATGAGTGATTGGTGAGTGAGCGAGTGAGCGTGCGTATGAGTGAGTGAGTGTGTGTATGAGTGAGTGATTGAGCGAGCGAGTGGGTGAGCGAGTGAGTGAGTGAGTGAGTGAGTGAGTGAGTGAGTGAGTGAGTGAGTGAGTGTATGAGTGAGTGAGCGAGTGAGTGAGTTAGTGAGGTGAATGAGTGGAGTGAGTGATGAGTGAGTGAGTGAGTGAATGAATGACGTGAGTGAGTGAGTGAGTGGCAGGAAGGAAGGAAGGACGGAAGGAAGGAGAAAGAGGCAGGAGGAGGGAGGAGGGAGGAGGAGGAGGGAGGAGGGAGGCGGACGCCAAGAAGTAAAAGTAAGAACCCCACACAAAGATGTGGGGAATAACGTTCGTTTCGCCTGCATGCTGTGTTTAGAAAAAGTACATGAACAGTTAGAGAATTGTGAGTTGCTAACACCGCCGGGAGCGTGCGTAGCTCGACGCGGGCGTAACACATGCGTGCCCAGCCGTGCAGAGGAGTCGAGATTCACTGTGGACAAAACAGACAGTCACTCTTGCTTTGGCATTGATTGAGTGACAACTGTGTGTGTGTGTGTTTACATGTCACGCTCTTTCTTCAATTAATTTTGAGGATTCTGTTTTCTTTTCAAGCTTTTTAAAAGTGTATGCCTGATGCACAGGGTCCACACGGCCCACTGCGGAGGTAATAAGAAAAATCCGGAAAAGTTTTTCGTTTCTGCTCTCCATGCTCGACTTTTTGCAACTTCTTGGCAATGCATACTGTCGAGAATGCAGAGCTGTTTCAGTGAAGCCGTGGCTTATCAAAAAAAATAAATTTCCCACCCACCGACCCTGCATGACTAAGTGCGGTCTCTCCGTGCTGCTAATGCACCAACTCTTGTGTGCCTCTCAAGCGCCTGCTCAGCCTTCCTGGCTTGTCCAGGCTGCTTTGCAAGTGGGCTGGCATGCCTCGCAGTGCTTTCTGGCATGGTTCATCGGTCTTTCCCGCTTCAAAGATTTTCTTGTAAGGCCTATGTATATGGGCCACTCGAAGTGATGCATGCACAGTCTCCCAGCGTCGCCTGCGAAAATGTGTGTGTGTGTGTGTTTGATGTGCCGTGGCTTGTGCAGTCTGCACTTTCATATGACAGTGTAGATGCAATGTGAATCTTTGATGCCTAATACTAATGATTCTCTTTCCAACTACGAAGCCTTCTGGAGAATTTTCGCGAGCTGTTGTGCAGCCTGTATGGTGGGGCATATGACCTTGCTCTCCGAACCGAGCATGATAACTTTCAGCTTGAGCTGCAGAAACTTTATGAACAGTTTTTAAAACCATACAACATTCCGCCTGAAATATTAACCGCCTTTTAGGTAGGTAGGTAGGCAGGCAGGCAGGCAGGCAGGTGGGTAGGTAGGTAGGCTGATGGTCAACTGAGAACAGTCCTGATCGTGGGGAGTGTGGGGTCTGGGTGGCAGAAAGAGATCTCCAGCTCGCAGTCGACCTGAACAGCTCGTTTGTTGTCCAAGGTGCGTGCGCACACCCACTCCTCGAGTCGACATTCTGACAGTGCACTTGCACGCACCTGCTAAGTTGTGGGACATGGGGCTGCGAGGGACATCTGCTAGCTTGGTCACCCAACTTGTGCCTCTTCGTGCAGCGCAGCTTGGCTCCCTGTGTTTGCAAGTTCTCTCAGCTGCGTACATATTGTGTATAAGTACAATGAATCAATTTGCATGGCCCCCGCTACGATGCTGGGCTTTGCTTGGGTGTCGGGCTCAGATTTGGGACTGCATCAGCGGAGTCTGTGGAATCAAAACCTTGAGCTGCCAGGGCGATGCTGCCCGTGGCTGTGGCAATGAAGCTGTCGCAGGTGCAGTTGCTTGGTGTCGCTCCATTTTCTCAGTGTGCCTCAGCGGACATGCTGTCAACTGTTGCTGGCCGTCCTTGATCAAGTGCAGGAGGCGAACGCTTTGAATCCGGATTCTGTCACAGCCTCGGCTGAGTCCTTGAACCTCTCTGTGCACGGGGCCTTGATCGCTCGCTCCATGAAAACGTCCGTGGCCGAGCGCACAGAGACTTCCGACGGGTCCCTCGACACTGTGGCAAGTGGAAAGGGCGGGGGCGGCCTTGGTGCAATCACGGGAACCTTCGCTGACCGGGGCAAAGCGGTCTTCACTGCAGGCAGCACCCTCGAAGCTAGATTCTAGATGCCAGAGCTAGCCGAAACCGTCTAAGTAGCGCCCGGAATCCTCCAGGTAAGCAACTTGGGTCTGCTGCCGGCAACGCCTTCACCGTGGTCGGAGACCGGGTGGTCAACGCTCCAAAGATGAGGTGGGACAAGCTGGATGATGAGCTGAAGAACGCGGCCGAAGAGCTCGGAAGCACTGCCTTGGTGGTGGGCAATACCCTCCAAGCCTTGGCCCGAACCACCGTCGAGGCAAAGTACAAGTTGGCCGGGCACATCCTGGCCGCAGCCACGGCCGTCTATAACAAAGCCAAGGACATAGCCGTGGAGGTGCGCTTTCTTTTGGAAGCCCGAAACCCCTTCGAAACCTCTCAAGAAAAGCCCGAAGCCCGAAAAAAATTGACACGGTGAATTAAAGTTGTATCCTTCAGGAAAGCCAAGGCCACAGGCAGCCCAAACATGGGTTTCCTAGATGTTTGGGAGTTTCTAGGCGCGTATGCCAGGTTGCGAACGAGGTCAAAGGCTTCGTGCAGTGCTTTGCGGACGAGGCGACCAGCAAAAAAGGGCAGTGCGAGGCCCTCTTTGGCAAGCAATGTGACTGCAGTGATGATGAAAACGGTGAACCGAAGAGCCGCATAGACGTCGGAGGAGACGGAATTCCACCCACCAAGCTGGACATAAAAAAAAGTGCCGAGCAAGACTTCCGACCTTGCCAAGAAGTTTCGACTTAAAGCCTCCACAAGCAGCGAGGAGTTATTGGGGGGAGGAGTTGGATTGCCAGGAACTCCGGAGGAGGCGTATACTGCTGCAGATAAGATCCGCACGAGCCCCACAGATGCTTTGGAAGAAGCTCGGCGTTCTTGAGAATTCCAGATGTTTGAAACGGAGCTTCTTCCGGCCTCGTCTTGGACCACGGCCCTATCCACACCGCAGCCTGCTGGGTCCTGTGAGGGTGAGCTCACCGTTGGCATCGATGCCATCGTCCTTTTCGACCCAAGCCTGGTCACGGCCGAGACCAGCATAAGTGGACCGTTGTCGAAGGCTATGTAAACGCCTCCGTCGAAGCATACCTATGAAGCGCAGAGGGGCTTTCCCAAGCAGCCCAAGAAAAAGATGATTTCCGCCAAGGGCGTCTGCGTCTTGGCCTAAAGCTTGGGCGCACTTTCCTCTGTTTGGCGGGAGCTGCAGCGAGCGCTGCGACCTGCAAAAACAGTACCTCGTAGTATCCCTGACCGGTGCAGTCGAAGGTGTCATCTTGGCAGTGCAGATGCTTGCGACGCTGAAGCTCGAGGGTACGCTCACGGGAACGGTGGCAACATCGTACGACGTAGGCTTTAAAGTCAAAGGCCTCGCTGTGCATGACCAACTCAGCAGTGCTAGCTGAGTGAATAACAAAGCAATTTCAGCTGCCCTGGTCCAGGCATTGCGGAGATGAACACTGACCCGAGCCAGGAGTCCATGGTGTACGCAGATGTCACTGACGTCAGCTACAAGGCAAGGCCTTTCTTGCTTCTCCTGTGCGGCTGTGCTATGCTATGTTGGCCTCCCTGCTGAGGAGAAGATCAAAGCCGCGGCGGAGGCAACTTGCGCGTGAGCGTTGGGCCAAGTGTTCGTGGCGGCTTAGCCGGGGCATCTTCAGAAGCGTGGAGTCCGCTAGTTGTACGCGGTTTTGTCTGTGTGCGGGCTTCCGAGAAACTGAGGTCTGGCCCACTCCCGGACTTCCGGTGACCTTCTTCCCGCAAGTCCATGCTCAAGCAGAGGCTGTGGGCAGGATCAGCTATGAGGAAACGTCAAGCCGGCGCCGCCATCTGAACCGCTGTACTCGGTTTTCTCCGTGAGTGGTCAGAGCCATGACAAGAAAATGCCGCACCATGCAACCTTGTTGTCACAGCGTCTGCGTGTGCCATCTGGCAGGACGGAAAACCCAAAGCTCCGCTGGACTTGTGCGGCGCGGCAGCTGGGACCCCAGCACCATGAAGGTTGGGTGTTTCAGGGCAAAGCACAGAAGAAGGCCTCCTCCAACAAGTGTGGTCTTGTGAGTGTTGTGGGGTTTCATGGTCCCTGCGCCAACTCATCCAGCGTTCTCTTACACCTCAGGTCTTGAGTCTTGAGCATCGCCTCTGGAGAAAATGCTGTAGGCACTGCAGGCGCCACCGTCGTCACTAGACGTATACGCTACACAAGTTGCACCCCTCGCCTCGGTCGCTTTGGTCGCTTCAGTGAGGTCCTGAGCATCTACGCGGACTTGGGCATCACCGGCTTTGCCCTGCCGCCGCCTTTGGAGAACATGCTCGAAGGTAATGAGATGAGAGATATGATCGCGAAGGCCATCATGGAAGGTGCGATGACGGCACACATCCCTTGGGACTGTTTGCTTGGTTTCTCCAGTTTCGAAAGCTACGTTGGAGATCTGCTGGGGGATGCCATCGCTGCTCTGGGCTTCCCTTGGCAGCTGCAGTTGGTTGAGCTACTAAGCTCGGACAAGCTCTTTTGCGAGGAGCCTTGGAAGACAGACGGCTTCGACGAGTTTCCATGTGCCAAGGAAATAGGCTGCCAGGGCTCTGGCGTTTCGAGCCTGCCGGAGGACGGCGTCATGCAGGTGCCAGCAGAACTCTCGACGACTACCACGACCACTCCATTCGCTGCATTCTGCTCCTCCCCCAGGATTGCTTTTGGAGATCGATTCATCGAGCTCTACGATTTCCGCATTGCCCAGCACGATGATGACCGGCTCACGATCACGCACAAGGACTCGGTTTCAGGGCTTGGATGGGCCGCGTGCCGCTTCTCTAGTGCAATGCAGGTTCCCCAGCCCCAAGTGCCCCGAGTGCTGCCTTCGAGTTTAAGCATTCACCTGCATCAGCCTGAAGTGGCCTGCACGGCACAGATGTCGATGAGGAGAGTGCCAGCGTGCTCATGATGTTCGACAAAGCATGGAGCCGCGCCAACGAGTATGCGGATGAAAATAGCAAAGCACACTACAAGACCGAGGTTTGGGAGAGGCCTGAAGAGGGGAGTGGGGCATTTATGCGTTCGCTCAGAGTTGGAGGGTTCGTGAGGGTTCAAATGCCGCAAGGCCCACAGGAGCCGAATACGTGAAAGGCAGCATCAAGATGGGGTTCCAGTTCATCCAAATTGGAAACTTCCGCTTGGGTGCCGACGACTGGTGCCTCATGGTTTCGTAGCCCCGGCTGCAGCACCATGAAAGATTGCAAGGTTCTGCGCAGAGTCCAGCCTGCTTAGAAGCCGTATTGACAAAGTGAATTCACTGCGGTACACCGCATGTATCAAATTCCTCTGAGGCACATGGACCCCTCGACCCCGGGCGTCCTTCGCGAGTGGAAGCACGACGGGAAGACTCACGACACAGCAGACACATGGCGATTCCAAAACACAAGACTTTCCCCAAGCCCGCCCAACACCAAACTCTGTGCCTTCTGACCTAACGGCCCTCCGACAGACAAGGACCGCACCATCAGGGACCGTGCAGAGGGGCCTCCCGCGGGCATCATCCTCGGATGGCGGCAGCCCTGCTGCAAGGCTAAGTAAGCAGCGGCAGCCTAGCAGAACACCCTTGTGGTTGACAAGTTCCTGCAGGAATTCTAGGGTTTCCGTCTTTTCGAAGGTCTGGTTGACTCGTTGACCGATGGTGAACAGCCGAGGTTTCTTCAAATCGGCAAGTTCCGCATTTCGGCGGATTATCGTCAACTTGCGATTATGAACCCCGATGATTCCCACCCGAAGAAGATCATTGAGTACTTTGACAAAGACGGTACTCATAAAAGGGACTACGACGACGAATGGCTTCGCACTGCGTTCATGGACGACCGTCCCTTTCGATGGCCTTGCCGCAGCGCTGCCGACTTGGCCTTTGGGCCCTGCGATCCGAGCTTTGTGGCCTGGGGCGACCGCTTCGTCCAGCTCGGCGATTTTCGTCTGGCGGCCATGGATGAAAACCACTTCAGCGTCTCGTCCAGGGATGGCTGGACGGCACAAATCTTCAAAAGCGATGGAACCTTACACCCAGGACCCCGAAGAGACTGGGGTTCATGGGATCGGCCGGTCGGGTTCCCTCACGGCATTACCTTCGGGCGAAACTTCCTGCAAATTGGATTGTTTGACTTTGCAGACGTGGATGGCATGCACCTCACCATCTCCCACATTAATGGGAATACTCCGCAGCTTTTCAAGTATGACGGAAACACCTATCCCCATCAATCGTCGCGAGACTTCAGCAGCTGGCACCGGGAAGAAATGGTTGCCGGGCCCGCAACCGGCGTCCGATATGGGAAAGACTTCCTGGAAATCGGCAAGTTCCGAATCGGAGCCGTGCGATACGAATCCACAACGGGACAATGGGATCATCTCGTGGTCAGCCATGGAACCCAGACGATCCAAGTCTACAGAGACGATGGTCTGAGATTTGGGGCAGTTGCTTGGGCGGGCAAGGTGCTGGCCGAGCGGCCCACACAATCGCACTGCGGAGCCATCCAGGCCGGGAGATTTTGCGAGTAGGACCCGACCGCCCAAGCCTCCAAACCTTTCCAAACCCCTAAACCCTAAACCCCTAAACCCCTAAACTCCTAAACCCTAAACCCTCTGAGGTTACGGCTTCCTGCAGCTCGGGGACTGGCGCCTTGCCACCTTCGCCGACCACCTGCACTTCTCGATCTCCCACCCAAAAGGGCGCCACGGGCGAGGTCGTGAACGCGGACGGCACAAACGAAGCAGACGTAGGGAACCAGGACCCATTTGGCCAGGTCGGCCAGAACACCCGGATAGACTGGAACGCCTGGAACCACGAGTTCGAGCCTCGGGAAGTTCCCAAGCCCTTTGTTTCTTTTGGGGACAACTTCATCGAGTTGCGCGGCTTTCGCATTGGCTTTGTCCATCACGACCACAAAGACTACTTGACGATCTCGAATAGCCTCTTCCAATGCAGGGGAATACTCCATTCTGGCATTTTCGCGTGACGGAGTGCACGGTCACCTTAGCTTCGGCGGCGTCTTTAGTGGTCCACATGCGCGCATTCACGGTGCGCCAAAAGGCATCACTTTCGGCGATCGCTTCATCCAAATCGGAAAATTTAGAATCGGAGATGTGGATGGAAAAAGGCTCTCCGTGGCACATGTGGGCGACGAAAGCGGCACGGACAAGACCATCGCCGTCTACCAAGATGATGGCAACCGGGTGTTATCACCACCTGGAGCAACAAACACCACAGTGGGCCGGCCTTTAACACCGTGCAAGGTCACCGAGCTCCACTGAGCGGAAATGGCAGGGGATGCCAGCCCTATCATGTAAGTTCCGGCGGTGCGAACTGCACAAGTTCATAGCCTGCTGGCAATTTGAGTCTTGCGCTGCGATAGCAATTTGAGTCTTGTGCTGCGATAGCAGTTTGAGTCTTGCGCTGCGATAGCAGAAATATTCGTCTGCATGATAAGCATAGAGGCTAGCCGTGGAATGAAGCAAGCACCCGGTGTTTGGGTTTAGGGCTCGTGTTCCTCGCTGTACAACTCGAGGTCTTTACCAAGGCCTCGAACCCTTCAACACAGAGCTTGCATCCCAAGCCTATAAGCTCTCCACACATAACGGAAAAATGAACAGCATGGCTCTCACGCTGCATGCCGCTTTGGCCCACAGTGCCATTTCGGACATACTCTGGACTTCTTCGACAGACATCCATGTTTTCGAGGTTGGTCAAGGCAATTTGAGGTTGAAGCTTTGCGCTTTCCCAGGAAGCTCTAGTCATCCGAGCCCCGGAAGGATCAACTCCCTAAAGCCAGACAGTGCCATGGTGTCGACCTGCTGAATTGCTGGCTGCGAGACAAGACGATTCCTAAGTTCAACACCTCGAGTCTCAGGCTTGTACATGAACCGGAGGATTTTAGGCTTTAGGCCTGACACAGGCCTGACCCAGAGAGCCCAATACCCCTTAATTAAGGAATAGACCTTGATTCATAATAATAAGGCCCATGTGATTTAAGGTATATTCCTTATTTCTTATTGAAGGAGTATTGGGCTCTCTGGGNNGTTTAGGGTTCAGGGTTTGGGCTTTACGTCGAAGGGTTCGGGTTATCGCCGTGCGGCTTTGTCGGATCTGGCATCTGCTGCAGGTGCCAAGAGCATTAGAGCCCGAGCCTAAACCCTAAACCCTAAACCCTAAACCCCTAAACCCTAAATCCTAAACCCTAAACCAGCTCCTGGATGCTCTAAGGAGAATTTCCTCTGCTACACCTGGGCTGACAGGACTGACTGGTTCTT